ACATGACTTTTGTTTTAATATACTGTGCCACATATAACATTATAATGTAGAAAATAATCGTGAAAAATAACAGAGGAAACAAACAAAAACAAAAAAAGTGACAGTTTGAACGGCTTTTTCCCCTCGCTCGTGCCATGCTGGTGCAACTTTCCAAACTAAATGGATTTTTTTTCCTTCTTCCCCTCCATTGATGGTTTTCCTCTTTGACAACCATGCAATTAAAAACTAGAGCTGAAATGCCTAAACATCCAGCCGGACCAATAAGCAGAGCCCAGTGTGCTCAGCGAGTTTTTACACTTTGGCAGAATTACAAAAACTAAAAATCAGACGTACAGAGGAGCACATTCTCCAAGATCACGGAGAAGTGCTGACAGCTCTCGTGTGTGTGTGTGAGATATAGGTTTTCTTAAAAGATCTGTATAATAGAGCTATACATTTGTTAGTTGGTCAAAAGAAAAATCATCAGCCAGTGCCTAAATGATGGCTGGCACTGTGACAGAAGAATCCGACAAACACGTGAATATCGTCTCTCAACAAGGGTCCTTAATCCCGAGGTTCTCTCGTCCTCATAACAGACTATTCATAGCAAAATATTATTATTAAGTAGTAATTTGTATTTGTGTTGCAACCATTTTCTAAGCGTACTTTGCAAACCACGTTTTCTTATTTTTAAAAAGAAAGAAAAAAAAAGACAAAGCACATTTTTAACTGTAGGCATTTACAAATTTGATGCTGCCTTCTTAAAATTCTTATATCGTCTATACATTATATTACATTATTCACAACATCTTTTTGTGGTTTCTACCCATTGGGTAGGATATGTGCATAATATATTCAAGTTATATACAGCACCTTACAAACAAACATAAAGAAAGACAGACTACTGAAAAAAGCACCGTTGGAAGTGAGGCACAACGAAGGTGGGAGCTTTTTGAGTGCAAGTGGGTTTCCTATGTCTGCTCCACACGGGTCACATTACTGCTTGGAATGGCTTCAGTGGCTTCTCTAGGAGCGACCGGTCCTGTCTGGCACA